CTCCGAGACCTTGCGAGCATCGCCGACTTCTCCAGGCTTGAATGAGCCTCAGGTTGAGCGCAGTGTACAAACCTCCCAGGCGCATTCGTTGCCCAGGGGGAAGAGGCGAGCGCGCAGCGGAGCGACCATCACAGACGAAGAGCGTCTTGGGAGCAGCAGCAATAAGTCTGGCGTTCTCCTCATCGGGGTAACAACACGGTGTTCCGGGCCGCACGTCAAACCACGATTGGTTTCCTGTATTCATCATTTGTACTCAGCCCTGTCATCCTCCGCATCTTTGCGCCTCATTCATTAACCGTCACTCCCTCTACTGTCCTAACCGTCCGCATACAGCCCATATGTGATCTGTAAGTATTGTCTCCTGTACTACATACATGGGAAACAGACCTTATCGACTCCTATCCATGACGATATACCCGGTACGGATACCGTAGAAGTCAGGCGCCGGACTGAGTTTGCCTACCGACTGCCAGACTTTATACTATTAACATGTTTGACGCGCCAACTGATCTACACACCGGATCCATAGTCAGCATTGTGTATTGAAGAGTAATACTCGATCAAGATCTATTGTATCACATTTTCGCGAGCGGGATCCATCTTGCATACATCACATGTGCACGATATGATGATGATTAGCCGTCTACTATGACTCGCGCAATAGATAAATAAGCCCCTATCCCACTTTTTTGCACGAGGAGTAAGAGGGTATCATTACATTATGTGGGGAGAGTCACAGAAGCTTCTGAAATCTGCTCAGAAGCCGACGAAACACAGACCGTCCGGATGAGCTTGTAGGAGGTCCACCACCGATGCTCGGCAGAGCGTTGGGATCGAAAATACCCTTGTCAGGTATTGTATTGAAGGTGGGTTCATTGGTGCCGGTCGCCGGTGGGTGGGAACTCAAGACATTGTTAGAATACAGGGAGGCGGCGGCGGGGGAAGGGCCCATGTGGACTACGCGAGCATTGCTTGGAGCGGGAATGTTTACGGAAGGCGCAGGATTTCGCGTAGTGGCGGCGAAACGCGAACCACGTAGGCCCCTATAGAAAGAGCGGAATCCGGCGTATGCAGCCTCAACACCTTGGGCGCGAGTGAGATGACAACGAAGGGAGTACAACATGGTTGACACAGACCCATGCGCGCGCTCGAGAACATATGGGATTCCTGCAGGGCTGGACTCGGCATTGTGACTGGTTGTTCAGAGATGAGCTGGTATGCAGGATGAGGGTCGAGGTACGGTGCGCACTTGGAATGTCGGTGTAATGATGGCGGTCAAGAGAGAGCGGGATTGACGAGGTTTCGTTACATTGACGCCCTTACCTTGCACAGCCTACAGACCCGTCAAGATCTTCTGCGCTCAGAAAAGCCTCTGACAACCGTGGAAGTGCATATAATATGGCGTAGCGCCTAGATAGCGTGGTCAGACTTCTGCATCGGTGGAACCCCATGTATGTTCACCGAATGAAGAGGAAACACAGCAAGCCCGCTGTATGCCTGTGACAGGGTGCTCATTCTTCTAAAGTCCTTTGTCGCGCCGCTCAGACCCAGATCCTCGCTTCCATGAGTTTTGTTATCCCATTACATACGATGAGTATACGCGAGAAGCGCATGCGTCTTACGATGGGATGATTGGCCGATGCGCAGTGCTAGCTTGGTTCAGGTGCGCAACAATACCGCACCTCTGTATCATCCAGACATTGTGCGGCACATAACGAAATAACGAAGAAAGAACGTGAAACATGGTGCGCCTCCACGTGCATGCATACCCCAACGATCAAGCCTGCACAACGCGTGAGCCCAAAAATTTAGAACTCGATCCGATGCCTCCACCACAGCATGTCGCTGTCGCATGTCTAGCGGATCCTCCAGCTTTGACGTTGAGCGAGGCGCTCGGCGTCCTTGGGGTCTCGCCTTAGTGAGCCTCCACCCAACATCGCCGCAGGAAGGCGTCAAGACCAATTCATCTGAGCACGAGCAGTCTCTCCTTGATATTTCCCTCTGCAGGCATCTCCCTGGCTCGCCCGACTCGTCCGTCACAAGCACACACACCTTCGCTGGAAGTGCGACGTGCGCGAGTACGAGAAGTCTCGCCTCGGCAGACATTCCAGCAGTCTTCGGCGGGCCATACATCGCGCAGAAAAACGTCCAATCGAAGGCGTGCAAGTACGAGAAATCTCGTCGCTACCCAGGAATAGGTGTGGAAGGGGCATGCGGGCATAGCCCACACCGTGACGATCAGACGCGTCCCACAGAACAGGAGTCGTCTGACAGCGCATGAATCGGGCACTTCTTTCCGGTCGCTCATCTAACCAAGCGGGGAACGTTTGAGTGAAGCGCTCGCCGCATCTACTGCATAACTGTTATTCTGCACAGGAGATAGGACGCGAAAGAGAGATGGTGGCCGTGGCTCTCTAACACGCCGCTCGCCGCTCGGACCGAGCCCATATGGGTCGGTCGTCCCGCGCCGCCATAGACGCGTCCGCGTACCCGGCTCTTCCCGGCATCGGCAGCGCTCGCTATAGCTCGCTACCTGGGGTATTCATTCTTTGGGAGAGTGATGGAGCTCTATGCCTAATTACTCACAATGACTGCACAGAAGACTACAGCTACCTTGATTCAGACGGAGAAGCCGCCGTCGTTCGGCCTAGGGTCTGGTTTTTTTGAGGTTTTTAATTTTCCTGAACGGGGTCCCTGTCTCGTCGTGTTGCTCGGCCCATTCGCAGGCGCCGTCGTTACTCAGTACTCCAACTTCGTCGCCGCAAGTCCTTACTTTACCCTCCAATATACTTGTAGCTGACACATCACAGACAGCGACACTCGTCCGCGCCGAAATCATGCTCACTCAACTCATCTTCAAGCATGCACTCCGCATGCGCGTCAAATTCGAGCTATCCTCTTCCTCGACGGGGGACAAGAAGAACGATGACCTGTCTGGAAAGCGCAGCAACCCTGTCACTTCAAATCTACAGAACGTCGTCAATGGACGCGATTTCCTTGTCGTGGTGATCTTCACGCCTAAGACGGTCGCTATATCGTTGTACTTCTGGTATGAGATTCTCGGGTGGAAGTACGTGCGCTTGCCATACTAGCTCATTCATAGTGCTAATCAAGCTTCAGGGCTTTCGTCGATTAAGCAGTAATGCTCGCCGGTCAGCCCCTTTTCCTTTCCCTTCCGCCTCATCCGCGCACTCCAAATCGTGCACCGGACCCTTGTGCGAAAGACCGCCGCGCGCGCAGACCGTGAGCGAGATGACCGGAGTGTTGAAGATGGTGAAGATGTTCGGTTGGGAGAGGAAGATGGCCGAGAGGCTGGTGGGCAAGAGGGACGTCGTTATGGGCGGAAAGCTGCGTACGTCCTTCCTTCACCTCGTCTCCCTCGGATGTTCACTCAGACACATCGTAGCATCTACTGTGTTCCCTTACATATCCGTTATCATGTTCCTTCGCCCGCAAGTCAGCTCGTTCTTCTACTTCGCCTAGCCTCTCATCGAGGCCGAAATCCCGCTCAATCGCCTCACCGGCTTCCTCCGCGAGACGGGACTTCTCGATCAACTCACTGCGTCGTCTCCTCCACCGTTCCACTTCAGGACGACTCACACATTGGAATCCGCGCCTCCTCCTTCACCTGGTCCACCTCTTCTTCACCCCAATGCCTTTACCCTGCGCGTCCCCGGCCCGCTCACCTTCGAGCGCGGGAAGATTAGCCTCATCGACCGGCCCGACCGGATGCGGCAAGACGAGCCTGCTCATGACTCTACTCGGCGAGATGCACTGTGCGCCACTAGGACCCCATGTGCAGGTCAGTCTTCCTCGCGCTGGCGGTGTTGCATATGCTGCATAGGAGAGTTGAGTGATAAGTGGGGCTATTCGCGATAGCATCCTCTTTGGCGCGGAGTACGACGAGGCGCGGCACAGGAAAGGTTCGTTCTCTATCTCTCCTACTAGGCACTGGTTCCGGCACTGTCGAACGCTTACTGAACCTGTTCGTAGTGATGCCCTTCTGGACCTCCCTCGGCGGCGACTATCCGGTCCGAGTCCTGTTTTGGTTCAACTTTGTCGTCGGTATGCTCGCGTACCGAGTACTTGCCAACCTTCAGGTCAGTCGTCTTATATCTTGCACGGCCCTTAATACTAATGATCTGCCAGCCGTACTGGATGGGTCGCTGGGCCGATGCATACGCCGTAACTGTCCTCGTCAGCATCACATTGTCAGTCCGCTTCCTGTGCGCTACGTCTTATCATGACTCACTGCTGTCACAGTTACCTGGGCGTCTTCCTCCTCCTCGTGCTTGAACCAGCTCTCACGTTTATGGGTGCTAACGCCCCGCTCGTTGCTCGGTGTTCTTCGCGCGGCAAGGAACATCCACGCTCAGCTCGTGGATACCATCTGCCATCCTCGGTACCACCCTACGCTGGGTCGACTCTACGCCCTCTTCCCGCATCATCACGCGCTGTATGTTGTCCATCAAGGCCATTGATAAACAACTCGCCTTTCAGTATAAGTGACTCGGTATGCCCAGTCGGCGTCTTCATGCCAGATCTACATGTACTCATGTGTCATTCCAGCAAGTGCCAGTGCACATTTCATTGCTCAGCTCGTTGGCATTGTACTCGTCGCGCCCGCGATGCTCTTACCCGGCCTCATTTGTCTAGCTCTCGGCGCCTGGGTCTGGAACGTGTACATGAAGGCACAGTTGCCAGTCAAGAGGGACATGAGCAACAAGAAGGCGCCCGCTCTCGGTCACACAAGCGCCGCTGTCGCTGGTCTAGGTACGTTCTGTGCTCTTACCACGTTTGAAACCGTACCAACCTCGCTATATGTAGTATCCATCTGTGTGTATTGTGCACAAGATCCCTTCCGCCATGAGTCGTATAGGCGTATCGACGACTACCTACACGTGCGCTGGCAGGACATTGCATAACTTGAGCTGCTGGGTCAGCTTATACAGTGATACCCTTGGTGCCCTTCTATCGTCGACGCTCGGGGCCTATATGGTCTATGAACCGGGCGCTGCCACGATCGGCGCGTCAAACGTGGGTTTCACGCTTGATATGGCTATTAAGTTTGACCAACTCCTTCGATGTATAGACAGACTTACCCGCACACGATAGCTGCCTCCAGTCAGCTGATTCCCGGGCTTGTCTGCGTGTACAACGACTTCGAGGTTGAAGGCAACGGCATTGAGAGCATACAGGCATACGTGGAGATCTAACAGGAGCTGGAGCCCACGATCGACCGCCAACCTCCTGCATCCTGGCCCTCAGGTGGCGAGCTCTACGTCGAGAACCTCTCTGCCCGCTACTCTTCCAAGGGACCCGCGGTGCTGCACGGACTTAACCCCGGTGGGAAGTCGGGCGAGCGCGTCGGGATCATCGGTAGCGGCAAGAGTTCTCTGATACTCTCACTCCTGCCCTGCATTTTCACCGATCGAGGGGAGAGTGCGCTAAGACGGGGCACTAATCTGAGTCATACAAAGACTAACAAGGGCGTGCTGAACAATGGGCTAGGGAATGATCTAGCAAAGGCGACACTTGAGCAATCCATCATACCAAATATGCGCAAGGTGCGAACGATTCACCGGATGCAGCGCTTTGCGCGACGTTGCTGGGTTATCACGAAAAGCTCAGT